ATAATCAACTTTATATGGAAAAACAAAAAACCGAGGATAGCCAAAACAATCCTATACAATAAAGGAACTTCTGGAGGCATTACCATCCCTAAGATCAAACTCTATTACAGAGCTACAGTAATGAAAGCAGCTTGGTATTGGTGTTAAAAACAGAGACATTGACCAACGGAATCAAATTGAAGACCCGGATAGTAACCCACAAACCTATGAACACCTGATATTTGACAAAGAAGGTAAAATTATACAATGGAAGAAAGAAAGCATATTTAACAAATGGTGCTGGCATAACTGGATGCCAACCTGTAGAAGAATGAAAACAGATCCATATCTATCACCATGCACAAAATCTAAAGTCCAAATTTATGAAAATCCTCAATAAAAATTCGATCACAATGAACCTTATAGAAGAGAAAGTAGGAAGTACCAAGCAATACATGGGCACAGGAGACCACTTCTACATATTACCCCAATAGCACAGACAGTAAGAGCAACAATGGATAAATTGGACCTCCTGAAACTGAGAAGCTTCTGTAAAGCAAAGGACACAATCATTAAGACAAAAAGACAACCTACTGAATGGGAGAAGATCTTCAACAACCCCACATCAGACAAAGGTCTGATCTCCAAAATATATAAAGAACTCAAGAAACTAGACTTTACAATTCTAAATAATCCAATTAAAAAATGGGGTACTGATCTGAACAGAGAATTCTCAACAGAAGAATTTCAAATGGCCAAAAGATACTTAAGGACATGTACAACTTCCTTAGATAACAGGGAAATGCAAATCAAAACAACTTTGCAATACCATCTTACACCTGTCAGAATGGCTAAAATCAAAATCTCCAATGATTACCTATGCTGGAGAGGATGTGGAATAACGGGAACACTAATCTATTGCTGGCAGAAATGGAAGCTTGTACAACCACTTTGGAAATCATTGTAGATGTTTCTCAGAAAATTGGGAGTCAACCTAACTCAGTATCCAGCAGCACCACTCTTGGGAATATACCCAAGAGTTGCCCAATCAAACTACAAAGCATTTGTTCAACTATGTTCATAGCAGCACTATTTGTAATAGCCAGAACCTGGAAACAACCTAGATGGAAGAATGGATAAAGTAAGTGTGGAACATCTACACATTAGAAGAGTATTCAGTGTTCAAAAAACATCACATCTTGATTTTGCATATAAATGGATTGAAAGAGAAAACTATCCTGGGTGAGATAACCCAGACCTAAAAAAATGAATATGGTATGTACTCACTCATTAGTGGATTCTAGCCATAAACAAAGGACATTGAGCCTATAGTTCACCATCCTAGAAAAGCTAAGTAATAAGGTGAACCCAAAGGAAAACATATATAGATCCTCCTGGAAATTGGAAGAAGACAAGATCAACAGGCAAAAGTTGGGAGCATGGGGTTGGGGGTGAGGTGGGAGGAAGGGGAGAATGGAAAGAAGGGAGAAGAGGAGGGTTGGGGAGAGCTTGGGGGAATGGGATGTTTGAGAAGAAGGAAGGACGGATATGGGAGCAGGGAAGAAGATATCTTAATTAAGGGAGCCATTTTGGGGTTGACAAGAGACTTGGTTCTAGAGGGGTTCCCAGGTGTCCATGAAGAAGTCCCCAGATAAGACCCTGGACAGTAGAGGAGAGGGTGGATGAACTGGCCTTGTCCCATAGTCAAACTGATGACTATCTTGAATATCACCATAGAACCTTCGTCTTGCAACAGATGGAGATGGAGACAGATACCTACATGGGAGCACTGGACTGAGCTCCCAAGGTCCAGTTGAATAGCAGGAGTGAGAAGATGAGCAAGGAAGTCAGGACCATGAGAGGTTGGTCCACCCACTGAGACAGTGTGCCTGATCTAATGGGAGCTCACTAAAGCCAGCTGGACAGGAACTGAATGAGCATGGCGGTGTAGGAGGTCCTTCTGTATTTCTGTTGCTTTCATCAGTTAAATAAAGAGGCTACCTTGGCTTTTGATAGGGCTGCCCATAGGTGGGCAGAGTAGACAGAACAGAATGCTGGGAAGAAGGGAAGTGTGGCAGATGCCATGATTCTCCTGCCTGACACAGACCCACCCTGGTTAGACTCATGCTGCCAACATGACTTTGGGTGATTGCCCAGGTAGGCAGTTGTCTCTGTGATTTGTTGCATGTTTTAGAAGTTGTTTGATTGCACTTTCTAATTACTCAGGTAACATTATTTCCCTTTTCAGATCTTCGATGGGGTTGAAGACTATATAAATATAGTTACTTTCCTCTCGTGACTTGGCCAAGTTATTTATTATACAAGACTTAAGCTAGTTAGAATAGGATGTTTGTTCTTATTGTATATAATTTTGTAGTAGGTTTAGAACTCTCTTACTTAAACAAAAGGGGGAGGTGCTGTAGGAGCTCCTTCTGCTCCTTCAGCCAATAGCCGCTGAGATAACAGCCCACTTGGGTGTGGTCTCTCTCTCTTTAAAAAGCAGCAGTAACCCTCTGCTCACTCTCTTGGTCCAGGTACTAGACTGCTTTCCTGGCTGTCATGTACGATGGTGTTCTGTATGTTTTTTCCTGTCAAATAAATAACCCTTTGAATCCAAACTGGTGTGGGATTTTTTTGTGCATTATCTGGCACCCAATGTGGGGCTGCCCTATCAAAAGGCCAAGGCAGTCTCTTTATTTAACCAATGAAAGCAAAAGAAATACAGAAGGATCTCCTACACCAGCATAGCATAAAGCTGGACCCTCTGAATGTGGCTGACAATTGGGGTAAACCGAGAAGCCAATGATAATGGCACTGGAATTTGTCTCTACTGCATGTACTGGCTTTTTGGAATCCTAGTCTATTTGGATGCATACCTTCCTAAGCCTGAATGGAGGGGGGGGGACTTTGGACTTCACCACAGGGCAGGATACCCTGCCCTCTCTTAGGACTGGAGGGGAAGGGAAAAGGGCGAGTGGGGGAGCATGAGGAAAATGGGAGTAGGGGAATAAAGTGGATATTTTGAAGAGTATTATTTATAAAGCAATAAAAAAGAACAGGGAGGTCATGTTGACTCATCTGCAGAAGAAGAGGGGAAGAAACTGAATGAGAACAAGATGAATAACCCTGCCATATATAGAACCTCTCAAATTGCAGAGGCATTATAGGACAAAATTAGTTGAAGATAAAGTTCAGTTGTGAATTTTTGTCCAGGAATCACTGGTCTGGACTTTATCCTCAGCACAACATTAAGTGTGTGTATTAAGGCACACACAAAATCTGATCAGTTGTGAAATGGAGCAGGAAAGTAGGATCATTTTAAGATACATAATTAGTACATTTTCAATTATAATGACTTTCCCCAAGTATGGTTAACAAAAGAAATTTCAGTTATTAATGATCCAAAACAGTCAACATCATCATGATCAGTGGCCAAAGATGACTCTACACATATGGTCCTCTTGATAGATCAGGTCATCAGGCTAATATTGTACCATAATATCTTCCCTCTTTTAGAGACAAGGTCTAATATAGCCCTGCTTGACCTTGGACTCACTTTGAGTCAAGGATGACTTTGAACTTTTGATATTCCTGCATCCATCTCCCAGGTGCTGGTAATAGAAAGGTGAGTAACTATGGTTATAATAAGGAGTGCTGAGGAATAAACCCAGGGTTTCATGTATGCTATATAAGCCAGAACTCTACCAGCTTAGTTACAACTAGGGCACCCACAGTTTCTTTTTTATTTTTTGTTTTATTTTGTTACAGAAAAAGAACCTCATTATATAGCCCAGGATGGCTTTGAAATCCTTATCCTAATGCCTCTACCACTCAAGTGTCAGAATAACAGATTTAAGTAACCAAAACAACTATTTGTTTTAGGTCTCACTTTATAGTTCAGACTGGCCTTTTACTTGTGATCAACTTGCCTTCACTTCTAAAGTAGCTGAGTTGGTATGCTAACATCATCAAGCCTGATTATGTTTTTGAAGTTGATGGTTGTTTTATGCTATGTTTAAAATCTAATGCACATTTTGTCAATGATAGCCTTTCTTAATTGGGAACCTAAATTTTCTTCAAAGATGTTTTGTTTATTTTTGTTTTCTTTAACTCTTTTTTACAAATCTTGGATTTATTTTTAGTGTTCATGAATCCTTCTACTTAAAAAGAGGATTCCCATGATTATGATGTTATAAGAATAACTGAAATTTCCAATAGCTGGCATCAATTTCAAAGTTAAGATGCTTTAAATTTTTATTTTTTGTCTATATCACATTTGAAATGTGTTTGATGGTTGGAGTCCTTGTTTGATTTTCTTATACAAGGTCTCTCTCTGTATTTCAGACTGAGGTAGTTCTAATCCACTGTGTGGTCTAGATAAAGTTTCATAGTATACAGAGGCAATATGTCTCTTCCATAGTGCTAGGACTGTGGCAATTACTGCAGGAAATGCACTTAATGGCTACTACTGGAAGCCATGGTTTGGAATAATGACATAAATTCAGTGTCAGATAAACACCATTGGCAAGGCCAAGGTCCTGGTGTCTTTCAAGTCTATTGTGGCACCTTGCCAAAGTCAGAAAAGTACTAATGCCATGATTGTAATGTTTTCTGACTTTTCTACTCAACCACAGGAGTATAGCAATAATTTTCTTTCAACCTCCCAACTGCTGAGACTACAGGTGTGTGCTACCTCAATAGGCACATTTCAAGTGTTTAATGGTCACATTTTGGAAGTAGCTATCAAAAGTACAATGTAGTTCTAATCCATTATGTGGCGTAAGATAAGCATTTTTAAAATCTATATATTTCTGTCTATTAGTAGGTGAAAGCAATAGAATCCAAACTTTGTGTGACAGTTTATGGTCATTACTTTATAAAATGCATTTCATAATTCCCACTGGGAATCCTGGGTTAGAGTAATGAATGACCCAAGTCCAGGACGAGATCACTCTGTTTGGCAGGACAAAGTGCCTGGGATCATTGCAGTCTACTGTGGCATCTTGCCAAGGTTGGAAAGTACAGATGCTAGTCCTGAATCAACATGGTTTCCTGAATTTTCTCCTCAACCACTGGAATATAGCAGTAATGTTCTCTTCTCAAACTCCTTCCTACTGGGATTACAGGTGAGTGCTACCACACCTGGCACATTTCAAGTGCTTGATGGTCATGTTTGAGACATTGCTATCATAAGTACAAAGTAGTTCTAATCCCCTGTGTTGCCCAAAATACAGGTTCTTAGCATCTATGTGCTTCAGTCTATTAATAGGGGAAGGCAATATTGCCTCCCCCAAAGTTTCAGGATTGTGACAGTTACTGCATGAAATACACTTCAGGACCCCCACTGAGAAACCTGGGTTGGAAAAATGAGCCAAGTTCAGTACCAGATCACTGCTATTGGCAGGCAGGACCAAGGTCCTGGTGTCAATGAAGTCTACTGTGGAACCTTGCCAAGGTCAGAAAAGTACAGATGCTATAACTGCAATGGCAATAGTTTCCTGACTTCTCTCCACAACCACTAGAGTACACCTCTGCAGTCAACATCAGCTAGGCATTGGCTGAATATCACACCAGGTGTACTCCCTTCCATTCTTCTCCCCCAACTCTCTCTCTCGTAAATAAAACTGATGTTTTGTTAGGACAGAAAGGTTTAAGTGTAGTCATGGCCACCCATATTTCTCACCCCTGTATTAGCAAGTCTGTGAATTGTACCTGCCTAATGACCAGGACCTAAGTTTGGATGTACCCATGTTCAAGATAAGCATAAACATGGAGCATGTATATGTCAACCTAGCATTTGGTGTCTGAAGCAGGAAGAGATAAGTCTCATTGACTATGCAGCCTGCCTAGCTGAACAGATGAACTACAGGTACAGTAAAAGACTCTGTCTCAAACTAAATTAACTAATTAATTAGTCAAGCAAATTAATTAAGTAGAGAACAACTGAAGATGATACTAACATCACAGGGGTGTCATGATTTCCTTCAGAAAACATATAGAACAGATCAAGGGGGCTTTGGTATGAGAACTTATTATATCCCTCACCAAAAAAAACCCTTTGTGAAACAATCGATAAATATGCTTTAGTAGAGTGGTTCAAAGTTTGCTATATCACAGGCTGAATCTGCCTGCTGCTAAAGAGCCTAAATAGCATACTGAAATGACTCACCTTATTTGAACATACCACAGACCACAGAACACTGAAATTATATATACGGGAATTGCTTTTATATACAACCTAACATTTTAAATTGTATCCAATTATTGCAGGCATTTTGGGGTATAAGTCTAAAAGTAATTAAATTTTCCCATATGTTCTGAGCTCAGGGGTGGCCATGACAACCCTCAATGTGCTGGGATCTTCCCATCAATGACTAATTAAGTTTCCTGCAAGTTTGCTTGAGGCCGAACTCATGAAGGCATTTTCTCAGTTGTGGTTTCCTCCACCCTGTTCATTCTCACTTCTGTCAACTTGACAAAAAGTAGCCAGAATGTCTGACAAGAAGCTAATATTAAAATTCTTTAAATAGTTTGGTATATATTTTCTTAACAGGGTTGTTTGGCTTCTGGTGAGATACATGCACATCTCTTAGCTCAGACTTTGTACACAGTCATGGACTCAACCTACATGGGAGTGAGATTGTACCATACATAGGTGTTTTTAAAATGACATAATCTAAATTTTCCCCAAGAATGATGCCTTGAACACCTGTATGCCTTGACATTTCCTCACAGGAAATGGTTAAAACATATGACCTGATCTTTAGGGTTCTTTGGGAAAATTCAATTAGTCAATGAGAAATGCATTTTATCTCTTCTGTGCTTTTTCAGATATGCCCCACTTCAATCAAAGGATTCATCCTCCCTGGACAGAACAGATTCTCCCACTGTTCTTAGCCAGGTTGTCTGTAGCTTTTCAACTATGGATTAGATTGTAAGATATTTTCTCTATCCATGACAACTAGTATTGTCATTATGCAGTTATGACATAAGCAATCTCATTAATGTGTCATAGGTTTGGAACCTCTGTTATGTCTAGAAGACACTGTCTTACAGGAGGACACCTGGTACTCTGGCTCTTGCAATCAAATCCACGATGTTGCCATTTTCTGGCTATTGTGAATACAGCAGCAATGACCATGAATGAATAAATATTCCTGCAGTAGAATGGAGATTCCCTTGAGCATGTGCCCAAAAATTATATAGCTGGATCACACAGTTAGTACCTTTCTGGCTTTTGGGGAATTCTTCACAGTGAGTTCCACCATGGTAGCAGCAGCAGTTTGCACTCTTACTAATAGTGACTAAGTGTTCTACTTTTCAACATCCACATACAGCATTTGCTGTAATTTTTTATATTAGTCATTCTAACTGTGATGAGATGAAAGCTCAAAATAGTTTTAATTTGTATTTTCATGATAGCTAAAACTATTAAAAATATTTCATAAAAAATTGTTGCTCTTCTTTTGATAATACCCCATTTAATTTCACACTGTACTTTGTCTTCATATCACAATTTTAATTGGATTATTTTTTGGTGTTTAGATTCCTAGCTTTTTGTACACTGTAGACATTAAACTACTGACAGATGTAGAGATGGTAAGGATTTTCCCCATTCTTTAGGTTCTATACTTACTCAAATAATAATATTATTTGCTGCACAGAATCTTTTTACTTTCATGGGTTTACATCTGTCACTGTCTCAAGCTCAACTCTAAATGTTGATCTATATACTGCCCTCATAAGGCTCAGGTGTCATTTTGGATGGTGAAGTAGAAAAGTCATGAAATTCAAAGGTAGATGACTACACTGAGACAGTGAGACTGGTGGATAACTACACTGAGACAGTGTTTTCTGGACAAAACAGCATAGTTGCATTTATGAGCTCAAAATAGTTGTGACTTTATGGACAGGACCAAGGAAAGATCAAGCCAGACCGATCATAGGTATAAGAGGTAGCCACAGAGGCCCACCCCTATCTGAGGAGTTAGGAAACTGATGTCTGCTGAAAGAGAGTAAAAGTCAGCTTTCTTTAGCCCCTGAGAGGCTATCCATGATTAAGTAGGTCCAGTACTCATGCATATATAAGTAGCACTAAGTAGCATCAAAGGATTTTGAAAAAGACAAAAATGGTGAGGGAAGAGAAATGAGGGTGTGGGAGGAAATCAGAGGAGAAGGGCATAGGTGTAAACTTGGTCAAAGCACATTATAAGAAACACTCAAATAATAAAGATTTACTAGACAGTAATTCAGATACACAACATTAGAAATTACTAGATTCAGACTAAGCAGAGAAGGTTATTGTCAATAAAACATTTTATATAATACCTAAAATTATTAATGACAGCTGTGTTCTAATCTTATGTGATATTAGGCACAACACTAACAGTTCGTCAATACTTACAGGAAAACTGAACAGAGTGGTTGAATAATAACATTCTCATCATGATGATAGCATACTTTGGACAGAACATTGACATAATATCATGGGATCTCCACAAAATACACAATTTCAACATGCTTCTACCCACAGAAAACTTTTTGCACAAGAATTGAAAGTAGGGAAGATCTGACTTAAATTCTATCCTGGCCCATCTTCAAATGCAACTTTTCAAACTTGTTTTATTGTTTTAGTGTAGTATTAAATCTTTAAAAATCCAGTCTTGATTTTCCTCCTCGAATTCCTGGTTACCCTTCAAAAACTACAAAAGTAATTTTAAGTGCAAACAATAGCACAAAGCTTTTGTTTATTTTTGATTCAATATGAAAGGTAAAAATCATAAATGGGATGCTTAGCAAAATCAAGCGTGTCTGAGAAAAAAAATCTAGTAAAGACTGAGAATATACTCAACATAAAGCCTGGAAAATTATTCTAGTGAGCAAATGAACCCTTGATGTCTGTACCTATTACATAAAAAGTAAAAAAAGATAACCTACCATGGACCATATTGCTCATATTGTTAATTATTAATAATATCAAAGGAGAATGAACTCTGTCAACATTTCAAAATTTCTGAGTTTCTATCTAAATTCAGAGACTATAATCAAAGTCAAACAATCTTCAATTCCCAAGTTTTATTCATTCATTTTCCTCTTTCATATTCTCAAACAAGTTGAAACTTTACCTATGGATAAGCCCTTTCCTATCCACCTTATTCCCATCACCTTCTTCCTTAACCCATGTCCCCTGTGCCATGCTCCTCCTTCTTTCTGAGTTGATACTGAGGTGCTCTTTATGTAACTGTGCAAATATTTCATCACTGCTATGTTCAAATAAATTAGCAAAGATTTTTTTAGACCTTTTCAATTCTAATATTCAGCACTGTAGATATAAACAAGGGATATCTACTGGAGCAAAGGCTATTTGAAGAGATAATTGAAAAGCTAAAACGTTATATGTAGTTAAGCAAAAGATCAATCAACCAAAATGTGCAAAGCTATTGGGTTCCAAGCCCAAAACAAATAAAAATAGCAGATAGTCTAAAGGTAAAGGTGCTGGCTGGTGGGGGAGATACCTGCAATTTCATCACTAGTGGGACACAGGCAAGGAAGATCAAGTGCTCAAGTCAATGGGCTGTGTAGCAAGTTGCAGAGCAGCCTGAACTATATGAGAACCTCCTTGGGTAAGAGAAGGGTGGAGAGAAGAGGGGACAGAAGCAAATGGAGTGTTGGAAGTATCTATATAAAAAATAAAACAAAAGAGATAAACAACATAAAAACAAGCAGTGCTAGGGCAGTTGTAAAGCAGACAAGGATCAAAAAAGGACCAAACAGTATGAAATGAATAACATGACTAGGGTCAATACATGTTTTTCAACAATAACTGAATATTAGTGGTCTCAATCTCAAAACCAAAAAAAATTAATAAGTTAGCTGGTTCCATGGATAAACAGGATTGACCTTTTCATATTTTCCTATCTACAAGGAAAACGTCTCATAATCTATGTTAGGTGAAAGGATGAAATGAAGCATTCCAAGCTAATGGAACCAGAAATCAGGCAGACTTTAATAGTCTAGTATTTGACAATATAGAATTTGAACCATAATCAATAAGAAGAAATACTAAGGTAATGTTTTACTGCACAGGGGAAAAATTGATCAAGAAGAAACTATGATTCTGAACATATACACATCAAAAGTGAGTGCACATAATTCCATAAAATAAACTATTTGGTGTAATTGATGATTAAGTCCAAGATAGTAGTAGACACTGATTTCAATATCCCACACTCACCAAAGGATATGTCACTCAAGAAACACTGAAGTTAATTTCATAGATCAAACAAATCTAATTGGCATCTATAGAATATTCCACCCACATACTGCAGAAGGAGAATTCTTCTTGGCAGTCTATAGAACTTTCTCTAAAATAGATCACACACTGAGACACAAAACATCTCTTAAAAAATATTTAAAAAATGACATAATTTCTTATATTCTCTCTGACCATAATAGATTAATACTATAAATCAACAGTAAAAGAAACTACAGAATTCAAAACTTATCATCATAAGGAATGAAGCAATAACTGGGATATTTACAGATTTAAGTGTTACATTTAAAAAATTAAAGTTAGCTCAAATAATAAAAATTAAAGAAATCTAAAATAAATAACTTAGTGAGGCACATTAAATCTTGTTAGAAATAAATAAACACCAAAGGAGTAAATGGGGAGAAGTTATTAAGTTCAAGTCAGAAATTAATAAACTGAAATTTACAAGTAGTTAAAAGAGTTGATGAGAGGTAAATCAAAGCAGCACTATACAGTATGTCTTCCATATATGCTATATTGGAATATCCCCTGAATTAAAGCATTCCATCCGGAAAGGAAACACCTTAACACTCAGAAAGATTTAGAAGAAAACTCAGTAAGTCTCAGAAAGTAACTATCTTAAAAGTCTCAGAAAGCTTCTAAAACAGAATAGGTGCACAAAACTATTCTTTCTCTAAGTTTATAGAAGTAGTGAGGACTGTTGAGGAGATGCCTAAAAAAGAGTCTTCAATCTGTGTAGCTGTCTACAGGTCATCTAGAGATCTCAGAGTTCCAGTGTATATGAGTCATCACCATGCCTCAGAGTGCTTTCAATGATGGACTATAGGACTCTGAATTTTACAGAGTTTAAGTGGAATGTAAAACTTCCACTTTTACATTCCACATTTACATTAAGTGGATTTAGAGAACTCTGTGTATCCTTGAACATGAGTCACTTAAAAAGCTCAAAAGAGTTGCAAAGCTAAGTTGTCTAGGAACAGAGATAAATAGGTAAAGTATGCAGAGAACAAATAGAGGGTACAGTCAAAGGCATGAACCAAATCTCCACATATTAACTAAAAACACACATACACACACATAATTCCAAAGTGATACAACTAGAGTAGACAGCACTTCACTATCAAAGAATGGGAAACCAGGATGGTGGGGTGGATCATCATTCGAGATGCTTTCTACCAAGCCTAACAACACAAACTTAGTTTTTAGGACTAATTTCTAAGAATTGTCACCTGATTTCAGGTGTATCTTGTGACTCAAATATGGCAATTCATATACACACCCACACAGTAAATAAATTGATAAAACTTTTATAAAAGACCCTTTATTTTTTTAAAAAATGAAGAGCATAGCAGGTTAGCTACTTGTTCACAAGCTCAGGATATTGCTGAACAGGCCTGCAAAAGGTGAGGAAGAAACGACCACACACTTGGGGTTGGAGATGTCTCACACAATCAGATCCATTGTTATCTCTATAAATGCTTCCAGTTTAGTTACAGAATTTAAAAATTATTTTGGTTTTGTTTGTGGTCTTTTATTATTTAAAGTTGTAAAAATAAATTTTCCATACATTATTTTATTCTAATTTATTTTTATTTTTAATTAATCCTTTTTTATTTTACATACCAATCAGTTTCCCATTCCTTCTCTCCTCCTGCTCGCTCCCTCACCTCCTTCCATTCCCCATCTACTCCTTCTCTACATCCATTCAAAAGAAGGGGTAAGGCCTCCCACAGGAATCAACAAAGCATGGCACATCAAATTGAGGCAGGACCAAGCTTTTCTCCCCCGTTTCAAGGCTGAACAAGACTTCCCACCATCAGAAATAAGCTCCAAAGAGCCTGTCCATATTAGTGACTGATCTTGCTTCCACTTTCACGGTCCCCACAAAAGGCCAAATCTCACAACTGTCACCCAGATACAGAGGGCCTAGTTCTGTCCCACGCTGAACTGCACTTGTCCATCCAGAATATATGAGCCCCCACAAGCATAGGTGTGCTCTCTCTGTTGGTTTACCACATCTGTTCTTTTTCTTTTCTTTGTTTTATTTTACTTTTCATGACAAGGTTTCTCTGTAGCTTTGGAGCCTGTCCTGGAACTAGCCGTTGTAGACCAGGCTGGCCTAGAACTCACTGAGATCTGCCTACATCTGCCTTCTGAGTGCTGGTATTAAAAGTGTGTGATACCACCGTCTGGCACCAATTCAGTTCTTAATCACTCCTTGTTCATATAATCCATCCACCCTTTCTTCAACTGTACTCCAGAACTCAATCCAGTAGTTGGATGTGGATTTCCTCATCTGATTCCATTAGGTATGGAAAGAAGCCTCCATAATGACAATTGGGGTAGTCACCAATCTAACTATAGGAGAAGGTCAGTTCAGTTACCCTCTCCACCATTTTTAGGAGTCTTAGCTGGGGTCATCCTTTTGGGTTCCAGGGAGATTCCCTGGTACCAGGTTTATCCCTAATCTCATAATGGCCCCTTCAATTAATGTATCTCTCTCATTACTCTCTCAATCCTTCTCATCACCAAATTGACTATGCTGATCACTTATGCTCCCATGCCCCTATTCCTTCTTCTCTACTCTCTGGTCCTGCTTCCAGTTTACCCAGGTCATCTCATCTTTTTCTTCTTCCCTAGGATATCTATGGATCCCTGAGGACTGTTCCCTGGTTATTCTTTTCTATATACCTTTTATCCACTAATGAGTAAGTACATACCATGTTTGTCTTTCTAGCTCTGGTTTACCTCACTCAGAATAATTCTTTTTCTAGTTCCATGCATTTACCTGTAAGTTTCATGATATTGTTTTTTTTCCTACTACACACTTTCTCATCAATAAGTTTTAGTGTGACAATATTTATGTTGATATCTTTGATTGACTTCGACTTGTATTTTCTTAGACTAATAAGTATTGTTCTGCTTGCTTTTATTTTAATTGATTTTTTAAAATTTATTTATTTATTAAAATTTCTACCTTCTCCAATTTTCCTCCCACTCCCCCCACTTCCCCTCCCCATCCCTCTCCAGTCCTAAGAGCAGTCAAGATTCCCTGCCCCATGGGAAGTCCAAAGTCCTCCCCCCTCCATCCAGGTCTAAGAAGGTGAGCATCCAAACAGACCAGGCTCTCACAAAGCCAGTCCATGCAGTGGAATCAAAACCCAATGCCATTGTCCCTGGCTTCTCAGTCAGCCCTCATTGTCAGCCACATTCAGAGAGTTTGGTTTGATCACATGCTCCATCAATCCCAGTCCATTGGTGAGCTCCCATTGCCTCAGTGGGTGGACGCACCCCTCATGGTCCTGACTTCCTTGCTCACGTTCTCCCTCCTTCTTCTCCTCATTTGGACCTTGGGAGCTCAGTCCAGTGCTCCAATGTTGTAACATGAGGGGGCCTGCTTGTTGGGGTTTCTGTCCCGCCCAGTACCCCACAACCAGCAAATCCCAAAGAAAATCACACAGAGCCTACATTAGGCTATAAACTGATTGGCCCTTAGCTCTATCTACTTATTAGCTATTATAACATATATTACCCCATTATCCTTACCTACATTAGCCATATGGCTTGGTACCTTTTTCAGCTGTCAGTTCACATGTTGCTTCTTCGGTGATCTGGGCAGGAATGGCGGAGGGAGCTTCCTGCTTCCAGGAATATTCCTGTTCTCTTCGCCCCACCTCTACTTCCTGTCTGGTTGACCCAACTATACTTCCTGCCTGGCCAATCAGCATTTTATTAAAATACATGATTGACAGAATACAAATAATTCTCCCACACCACAATGTGGGTCTTTGTCTCTATCTCCATCCATCGCCGGATGAAGGTTCTATGGTGATATGCAAGATATTAATCAGTGTGGCTATAGGATAAGGCCAGCTGAGACACCCTTTCATCTGCTGCCCAAGGAACAAGTGGGGACATCTCCTTTGACACCTGGGAACCCCTTTAAAGTCAAGTTCCTTGCTAACCCTAAAATGGCTCCCTTAATTAAGATATGTACTTCCCTGCTCCCATATCCACCCTTCCTCCATCCCAACCATCCCATTCCCCCAAGCTCTCCCCAATCCTCCCCTTCTCCCTTCCCTCTCCCCATCTCCCCTTACACCTACCCCATCCCCACCACCATGCTCCCAACTTTTGCCTGACAATCTTGACTACTTCCAATATCCAGGAGGATACTATATGATTTTTTTGATTCACCTTCTTATTTAGCTTCTCTAGGATCATGAATTATAGGCTCAATGTCCTTTATTTATGGCTAGAATCCACTTATGTGTGAGTACATAACATATTCATCTTTTTGGGTTTGGGTTATCTCACTCAGTAAAGTGTTTTCTATTTCAATCCATTTGCATGCAAAATTCAAGATGCCATTGTTTTTTACTGCTGAGTAAAACTCTAAAGTGTATATGTGCCATATCTTCTTTATCCATTCTTCTATTGATGGGCACCTAGGTTGTTTCCAGGTTCTGGCTATTACAAATAGTGCTGCTATGAACATAGTTGAACAAATGCCTTTGTAGTATGATTGGGGGATCTCTTGGGTATATTCCCAAGAGTGGAATTGCTGGGTCCTGAGGGAGGTTGACTCCCAGTTTCCTGAGAAACTGCCACACTGATTTCCAAAGTGGCTGCACAAGTTTGCATTCCCACCAACAATGGATGAGTGTTTGCCTTACTCCACATCCTCTTCAACATAGTCTATCATTGGTGTTTTTTATTTTAGCCATTCTGACAGGTGTAAGATGGTATCTCAAAGTTGTTTTGATTTGCATTTCCCTGATCGCTAAGGAGGTTGATCATGACCTTAAGTGTCTTTTGGCCATTTGAACTTTTTCTGTTGAGAATTGTCTGTTCAGTTCAGTACCCCATTTTTTAATTGGGTTAATTAGAGTTTTAGTGTCTTGTTTCTTGAGTTCTTTATATATTTTGAAGATCAGACTTTTGGTGAAGATCTTCTCCCAATCAGTAGGTTGCCTTTTTGTCTTAATGACAGTGTCCTTTGCTTTACAGAAGCTTCTCAGTTTCAGGAGGCCCATTTATTCATTGTTGCTCTTATTGTTTGTGCTACTGGTGTTCTATGTGGGAAATGGTCTCCTGTGCCCATGTATTGCAGCCTACTTCCTATTTTCTCTTCTATCAGGTTCAGTGTGGTCAGATTTTATTTTACTATGTGAAAGTTAAAACCTTCCTTCTTATTTAAACAGAAAAGAGGAGGTGATGTGAAAGTTCCCTCTGTGTGTTTCTTGTATTGGTTAATGAATATAGAAACTGCCTTGGCCTGACAGGGCAGAACTTAGGTAGGCAGAAAAGACAGAACTGTATTCTTGCAGGAAGAAAGCACAGTCAGAGGGACACCATGAATCCATGGTCAGAGGTAGACATGCTGAAACTTTTCTGGTAAGCCACAACCTCATGGTGATATACAGATTGATAGAAATGGGTTAAATAAAGATGTAGGAATTAGTCAATAAGAAGCTAGAGCTAATGGGTAAAGCAGTATTTTAATTAATACAATTTCTATATGGTTTTTTTCAGGGCTAAGATAGGTGGACTGCTGGGACAAACAAGGAGCCTCCTTCTAACAGATTAGATCTATGTATGTCTCTCTTAGGGTCCTCATGATTGTCTACGTTCTCTGGGATTGTGATTTTGGGCTGGTTTTCTTTGCTTTATGTTTAAAACCACTTAGAAATCAGTATATGTGATACTTGTCATTCTGTGTCTGGGTTACCTCACTCAAAATGATGTTTTCTAATGACATCCATTTGGCTGCAAAATTCAAGATGTCATTATTTTTTCTGCTGTGTAGTACTCCATTGTGTAAATGTACCACATTTTCCTTATCCATTCTTTGGATGAAGGGCATTTAGGTTGTTTCCAAGTTCTGGATATGACAAACAGTGCTGCTAAGAACATAGTTGAGCATATGTCCTTGTGGCACAATTGAGCAACCTTTGGATATATACCCAAAAGTGGTATTACTGGGTCTTGGGGAAGATTGTTTTCTAATTTTCGAGAAATCACCACACTGACATCCAAAGGAGCTGTAGCAGCTTTTATTCGCACCAGGATTGCAGGAGTGTTCCCTTTACTCCATAACCTCTCTAGCATAAATTGTCATTAGTGCTTTTGATCTTGGAGATTCTTACAGGTGTAAGATGGAATCTCACAGTTGTTTTGATTTGCATTTCTCTGATGACTAAGGATGTTGAACATTTCCTTAAGTGTCTTTCAGTCATTCTAGATTCCTCTGTTTATATCTGTACCCCATTTTTTATTGGATTATTTGTTATTTTAAAGACCAATTTCTAAAGGTCTTTTTATATATTGGAGATTTGACCTCTGTCTCATGTGGGGTTAGTGAAGATCTTTTCCTATTCTGTAGTCTGTCGTGTTGTTTTGTTGATTCTCATTTGCTTTACAAAGCTTTTCAGTTTCAGGAGGTTTCATTTATTGTTTCTCTCAGTGTCTGTGCTGCTAGGGTTATATTTAGGAAGTGGTCTCCTTTACAAATGTGTTCAAGTGTACTTCCCAATTTCTCTTCAATAAGGTTCAGTGTGGCTGACTTTATTTTGAGGTCTGTGATCCATTTGGACCTGAATTTTGTGCATGGTGATAGATAGGGGTCTATTTTCATTCTTTTACATGTTTCTATCCAGTTATGCCAGCAACAATTGTTAAATATTATTTCTTCTTTCCATTTGATATTTTTTGCTTCTTTGTCTAAAATCAGGTGTTCAAAAGTGTATGGATTAATGTCTGGGTCATTGATTCAGTCTCATTGGTCTTCCTGAAAGTTTTTATTCAAATACCAGACTGTTTTCAGTAATGTAGCTCTGCAGTAGAGTTTGAAGTCAGGGGTTGTGATGCATCCAGCACTTCTTTTATTGTACAGTATTGTGTTGGCTATCCTGTTTTTTTGTTTTTTTTGTTTTTTGTTTTGTTTTGTTTTCTTTGCTTTTCCATATGAAGTTGAGCACTGTTCTTTTGAGGTCTGTGAAGTATTTTATTGGGATTTTGATGGCATTGCATTGCATTTTATCTGTAGATTGCTTGATTGCTTTTTGATAAGATTGCCATTTTCACTATGTTAATTCTACCTACTCAAGAACATGGGAGATCTTTCCACTTTCTGGTGTCTTCTTCAATTTCTTTCCTCAAAGACTTAAAGTTTTTCTCATACAGGTCTTCCACTTGTTTGGTTAGAGTTACTCTAAGATATCCTATGCTATTTGTGGTCATTGTAAAAGGTGATGTTTCTCTGATTTCTTTCTCAGCCCTTTTACAATCTATGTACAAAATGGCTGCTAATTTTTTTGAGTTAATTTTGTATCCTGTTACAGTACTGAAAGAGTTTATGAGTTGTAGAAGTTCCTTGGAGAATTTTGGGGGTTGCTTGTGTAAATGAGCATATCATAAGCAAATAGTGAGAGTTTGACTTCTTCCTTTCTGATTTGTATCCCCTTGATCTTATTTTGGTGTTTTATTACTCTAGCTAGGACCTCAAGAACTAAATTGAATAGATATGGAGAGAGTGGACAACCTTGTCTTGTTCCTAATTTCAGTGGGATCACTGGGAGCTTCTCCCACTTAGTTTGATATTGGCTGTTGGCTTCTTGTATATTGTTTTTATTATGTTAAGGTATGTTCTTGGTAGCCCTGTCTCCCCAAGACCTCTATCATAAAGGAATGCTGTATTTAGTCAAAA